CGGACACGCATCATGAGCTCAGGATGGCCAGTTCCATCTCTTCATGTCGATCTCATGATACCGCATGCCGCTACACATCCCATACAATGACCAGACGACAGCAAATTTTGACTTTTTGGGCCCCGAGTGCCAACTGGATCGGCAGAGGACCCGGACCCAGACCAATTGGCACCCTGCGGACACGCACATGGGGTCAGGATGGGCCAGTTCAATCTCCTTGGAACCGATCTTCCATCACCATGGTGGTTATTATTGATTGATAATAACAACGGCAAGTTTAGTAAGAAGGTATCAATGAATCCCTATCTCTAATTAAGTCGAATACAAAAAGCCTGAGAAGCTTCGGCCCTAGTGATGCTCGCTAAATCAGAGAAGTTAGCAAAGCTGGGGGAGGTATATATTGCTAAGCATTATTGCTGTGTTTTGTTTACTAGAAGAATGTTTTACTGAAAGGCTCCAAGTTTGCCCAAGTATACCAAGAGGCAGCGAACGCAGGCGCATTATTTCCATACCAGCATGGTCGATAATAATGCATCTGGCTAGGATAGTCGCCAACAATAGAGTTCTCATCCAAAGCGTCAACCGATGCCAAAATTGCATCAAAGAAAGGTTCACTTGGTTTTAGAAACGCTCTTTGATCATCAGATCCCGGAACGGGGTGGGTACAAAGCTTAGTCTGAACACGCTGCCTTGATACGGTTCTGGTTGTGTGGGCCTGTGCAATACCTGTTCCTCCTTTGCAACCTTCGTGCTCTGTTCCTTTGTAGTTGTACGGCTCTCCAGTCCTCAAGTTGATAAAGTGAACTGCTTCGTCATAGACTGTGACGGGCTCCTCGATTGGAACGTACCCTTGAAGCACCAGCTCAATTAGGTTGGTGAGTAGGTCGCTCGTGCAAAGCTTGTTGCGGGCATTCTTTGCTCCTTGATATACAAATTCAAGCCTCTTCGCGAAAGACTTCCCACTTCGAACATCAAATCGGGATAGACCAAACTTTCCTCCCCATGCAGGGTGGACACTATCCAGAGTCACCTCACCAGCAAAACCCGGAATCGTGGATTCAACATCGCCGACGATTTGGCACGCCATGAAGCTGGCCCCCTCGGTTGAGAACTCAATACAGTGGTGTTTTAGGATTTTTGTCATGATGGTAATCAAATCTTTCCTTACTGCATGAAGGACAAAGACGGTTGTGTTGTTGCTTTGTTCTCTCTTGATGGTGCTCAATAAATATTCCCTAGCAAGCACCATGCCGGTGGGTGTTTCACCGCCAGAACCGTTCTCTGCGACTGCAAGGTAGTATTGAGAGCGTAGTTCATGAGCATTTTCACCCTCTCGTAACTTTTTGGGAGTTTGTGCTGTGTGCTGGTCATTGACTGAAGTCGACGCTTTGACTGTTTTGTCGTATTGGATCCAAGCTCCGTGATAACTATTCCAAGCTTTAACCTCCCGTCTGGTCGGAAGGGTGAAGGATGTTGCATCTTCATGGGATTTGTCTGGGTTGGGTTCAACCTTCCATTGCTCTTCAACCAGCTTCTTCTTGTAATCAGGAAATCCGTATGACATTGGCACATGACCCTGTGTTCTTTGAGCTATGCTCTGAAACAAACCGTCCACGATAATGTCCACAGCCTCCTTGGCCTCTTCCATTGTGTGACATGTCGGCTTCTCAAAGACATCAGGGAAGGTGTAGAAACCGTCGCCATCCCTGGGAAAAGATTTAGCAAACTGTTGGAAGAAGTCGCGTTGATGCTCTGGTATCTGCTCCAAGTCATGTGGGTACATGCAGCCAGCAAATTTTACCCTTTTTTTACTGAATATTCGGATTCCTTGCTCCTGAGACGTTCCAAGTCTTTTTCCAATCACAAGATTGAGGTTGAACCTGCAATTGCTTGGAGCAACATCAAATTCTCTGTTTGAGCATGGCATAGGCTTCTCTCTTAGAACCGGGGCAATTTTTTCAGACGGTTCAGAGCAAAGTGGGAGTGGGACATGGCTACCAACCGGTAGCTTGCTGTCTGCGGGGGGCTTTATGGTACACTTCCCCGGATAAAACCGGAGTGCAGCTGCTGCCATGAAATTTTTGCTTACTCCAGGGACCCTCCCTTCCAAGTTATAAAAATTCAACCTCTTGACTTTTTGTGTGACATGTTCAGTCTCTTTCGCATCAAGCTTTTCCATCTCGTCGAGGCTCAGCGCACCAAGGTCATTCAGCAGCGGACTCAGTCCATCGCCGCCATAGATATGCCGAATTTCCGTTGAAATGTCACTGCACGCTGCACCCGAAAATTGTTGACCGAATCTACGGTGCATAGCAGCAAAGATAGACTCGTGGAAGTCAGGACCAGCTCTATCAAGTACTGTGCCAACCTCTGCTGAAGGACCAACTCCCGCGTAGTTGATGTCAATCGTTCGGTAGCCTCCGTCATCTTGTTGGCCCAAAGATGGAGGACCGTACCAATCCCTCAAAATTTTGACCTCGGTCTGGAACTTGAGTGCTGGTGGAGTTTTGTGACTCAAAATTCCTGCATATTGAAACGTGATGTTGGTTCTGTTTCTGTCATAGTAGCCTGGGAAATTTGCAAAGCGAGCTTGTATAGCAGCAGTGCCTCTGCGGTTCTGCAAGTTGTCGCCAATATAGTCGTGGCCAATGACCATGAATTTGTCACAGTCAATGTTTTCATTCTGCAGTTCATTCTGGACATACTTTATCAGGGCATCGTCTTGTCGCTTTACTTCGAACCACCGTTGCAAGTTCACAAATTGAGTAACCGGGTTTTGCAGCTCTCGTGCCTCCTCAATCCCCCGGTTGATATCGCTTTGCAAGGTCTGACCAGGGGCAGATTTAAGTGCGGAATCTTCTTGGCTGCTTTGACTGCCCATGGAGGTGTCACCCTCCATAGTCGCTGACCCGGCCGAACCAGACAGCTCCATTGGCAACTTTTCAAACATAATAGACAACTCAAACAGGAATCTCTCAACCTTTGGAATTCGGTCAAGCATGGCTTTGAATTTAGCTGTCATTACAACTCTCTGTTTCTGGTAGAGCAGAATGGCTGGGAGTTGCTGGAATGCCAAGTCAGTGACAACTCCAGAGATTTCGTCCCAATATTCCTTGACGTCATCACACTGCCTCAAACTTGACGTCATCACACTGCCTCAAAACGAGCATAGCCATGCAAAACTCCACAGGGTCAAGTCCACTAATCTTTGAATGGGTCCGGTTCTTGAAAATGTCCCAGTGAAGGGGAAGAGAAGTAATAAAATCATTCTCAGTCAAATGAAGCTCTGCCAACTCACGTCGTATAGTCGCTCTCTTTCCCAGAGAATTTCTGATGATGCTTCTATCAGTGTCGGATCTATTACCGGCAGTCGCAAGAATACCACGCAACCATTCCTCGTGACTTTGATCATCATCAACGATGGACTCGGAGATGCCAGAAGGCAGACTTTGGAAGTCTATGTGTGGCCGTGTATTCACATCAGATGGCACTTTCATGGCTTCTTCGACCTCCTCCTTGCATTGCAGCAGTTTTTGCCTGATGTCACCAACTGAGACAGTGGTACTGCTACCAGTCGGTAAGATGTTTGGGTATCCATATTCCCGATATGGCCAAGTGAAGTGACTCTCGCGGTTGCGGTAGTATTTGTTCATCAAAAAACAGCCCACCATCCTGCAATCAGTCACATCAGGAAAAGTTTGCTTGTAGATTTGACTGAGTAACAGGGCAGCTCGTGTTTCCAGGTCAAAAATGTCACTGGATCGGATGGACGTCTGTAGTGATCCCATGTGGTCTCTCTCCACAATCACACCTAAAGGCAGGGGTAGATTCCGAGTCATGTCCATCAATATCGGTTCATGTGAAAATGGAGTACCATCCTTCACTATTCGTAGATTGACACTGTTTTCAACACAGAGCTCGACAGTTGAACGACACATTGCTATCTCATATGGCTGTTTGTTAAGCCGCATTGTTTGCACTGGCAGACATATGCCACGTACCATTCTCCCTTCAGGATATAATTCCACCGGAAGACCCGCTGATGGGAAAAGCTTTTGCACATCAACTTCAATCCGGTGCAGCTCTTCCCACATTGAAAGAGGTAGGTTTTCCTCTTTAGGCCACTGCATTTTGTCAGGTGGCAAAAAGGCACCATGGTCATTGAACTCGAATTCTGTCTCGGCAACTGCAAGACGATCTCTCTTCGCCTTGAATCCGAAGAATTTTTGAGTGATTGATCTTCGGGTTTCATCAGAGAGGTAATCGTGCCAATCTAGAACAGAATGCCGTCGCACTTCTCGCCTTGAAACAAGAACATTCGTGTTGTTCCATTGATTGTAGTTATGGGCGGCACTCAAAGCGCCAAGTTTCTTGGGGCTGTTCTGAAGTCCCAGTACATACAGCCCCAAATCCAAACCCCCTCTTGCAACTGTTCTCATGGAGCTGACAACACGATAGTCTCCATGAATCTCAATGACGCCAGTTGTGTATTCAGGGAAGTTAATCTCCAAAAAGCAAAATGGAAGACCCGGATTAAGAATCAGCTTCTTGCTGCCAGCATCCTGTCTTGCGGATTTGCCCTTGTCAACCTTATTGGAACAATGTTTACAACAGGTTTGAAGACCCCCCTGCTGGTAGTGGCTGCAGTCCTCCTCCGTGATCACCTCGGTGTAGGGTTTCCGGGTGTCCCCAGAGAACTCTCCATGTTGCACACTGGTAGCAATTTTGGAGTTGTCCCACCCGCGAGTAAAGGTGAACACAGACATTTTATGAGCTGTGGGAAGGAAGGATGGTACACTGCCTTCACTGTTTGGTTCATACAAATGAGTGCCTCGGTTGATGTAATCGGTATTCATGGTTGTGCAGCCGTCACTGTGTGGACCGTATACAGCCATGAGCGCCTTATCGATGCCACCGTTAACTGATGACTTGGGTTTCGGGATGTATTTGGGCTCCATGCTAGAAACCACCCGACATTTGTCATTGATTGACTTGTAGACCGCTGCCAATTCAGGCTCCAGTTCGTCATTAAGCCCATGTTTGGATTCTGTCACAAAGGCGTGTTTCGACCACAATGTGACTTGAAGTTTGTTCAGTGCAGATTGTTCGCTCTCTGTTCGGTCTTTGAACATTGTGGCGATGTTGGATCTGGGCTTAAGTTCGTTGGCAAATGCAGGATGCCCTGTTACCTCTGATTTGAGTAACTCGACCTTATTTGGATCGAGACTGATCTTGTGTAGAGCATCGTAGTCATAGCTGTGTTCCAGGAGTTCAACCCATCGGCCCATGTGTGAATCTTTTTTGCCAAAGACAATAAGCCGCTTGTATTCATTCGACACCATTGCAACAAGGTCCTCGAAGTACCGGGTCATCAAAATACGAGCGACGTCATGAGGCTCAGCATTCTGTGCCAATGTGCCTGCCCTATCGCCCAGGGTGAATCTTGGGAGTCGCTTATCAACTGGAATGTTTTTGCCGTCCGGTCCCTGGATTTCCAAATTGTGGTCAAAGGAGTTTGGATCAACTGGGTCTGTCATGTTCCACACATAAGCCCTGACTACCGATTCCGTGGCACCAGACTTGTCTCGACTCCACCAGCTTCTATTCAGCAGAACAAGATCCGCATGTCTCATGTCATTGGATTGGGTATAGTTCATTTCCAAAATGATAAAAGTTCCCACAAAATATTTTGCTCCCTCGCTGTCAAGCTTCTTTTTCAGCTTCTCCTTGTCCTCTGGCTTGATCAGATGATGCACAGTTAACTGGGTTCGCCCCTTGTTTGGGACAGGAGGCAGTCGGCAGATTCCCATCATTTCTCTGCACATGGCACCAATAGGGAACAGGACGTCAAATGGGACACCCATTTTGTTAACAAAATGAGTGATAGCAAGCAATGCTAAATGGCCCGCTATGACATTGATGTCCGCCAAAGGAGCCGCCGATGTTTTGAGCATTTCCATCCGAGGATCCAGTGTTAAATAACGGTGGAAGCCACTCCTACCAATGTGGTCTCGGTTCGGAAAGATCTCAAAAATGCTTTGCTGGTTTAAGGGCTTCAAGTTGCGCTTCTGACCCTGCTTGGACTTTGTTTGCAGTTTCCTGATCCCGGTCCTGGTGCTTTTAGACGAACTGTTCACGCTGTCGTCATCATCGGCAAGCAGAGACAGCTCTAGATCTTCTTGTTCCTCTTCAAGATCCGATTTGCTAGTAAGCAACAAATGGTAGTCCCACATGGATAGACCAGGCCGATCAATGAGAGTACCCGCCTGTTGCTCCCAGTAAACGCCATCAGCAGTAGACATACAAGCAGCCACATGTTGTGCTGTCAATTTCACATCAAACATGTTTTTCATCGTGTGTGGCTGCCTGCCAGCATAGGCACCCGTAGTGTGTGTGATCCTGTGTTTGTTTGGATTTTCTACGGATGATTTTTTCTGTGCTTCCCTCAGTGACACCAACTTTTTATCGAGTTCAAGAAAAAGAATGCGACGGTATTGTGGGTCTGTTTGGTGTACTTGGAAATGCTTTTGCTTCTTGGTCCCATGAAGATTGAGCTGATAGACTGGAAATATAGCCTTGATTGATTTGAAATGATGCAAAACTTGTTCGTCGTTTGTATCACTAGACCACTGGTCAGGAACCAATATGCCATCTGTTTGTAGTCGCATGCATATTTGCCGGTTCGATAGATGTAGCTGTTTGATAGGGTGAGCATGACAGTGGAAATTGTTGCATTCATTGCGGATTGATTTCAACAGATCTATAGCTGCAGAAAAAAGCTTGCCATTTTTTGTTGCGAGTTGTTGGACCTTAGCATAGCGTGCAGATGCCGCTTTGACTAGCTTGTGCTGAGTAGCATCCCCCATTGTCTTAAAAGCCTCGTACACAAAGCAGTCACTGAACATTTGTAGAGCTTCTTGATAGTTTGGTGGGCGCTCTGAGATCCGCTCAGGATAAAAGGCAGCCAGAAATTTCATTAGCAAGTTTTTGTTGGCGGGATCCTCCATGAACCCAATGAGACCAGACCAAGAGTCGACCATATCCCTCATGCGACTCATTGCTAAAACAATAAGATGTCGTGCTTTTTGAAGATCATCATTTCGCAAGCTCTCCATGATATTTTGTTCGTAGTTTTGGTTGAAATCTGATGCAATGCCAGTCAACGGCACAACATCGGTAGCGCTGCCAGTGGCTTGGGATAGATTTGATGTTCGAGCCTTTTTCCTTTTCTCTGTTGATGGTTGCTTCTGTGATTCTGTACCTATTTTGTTCTGGGTTGGCACTGCCCTTTTGGAGCGTCTTGGGGCCGTAGCGTCTGGGTCTGGATCGTCCATGGTGACCGATGAAATGGCGCTCAGCTTCGTCAGAAAGGTTGATTTGTTTGCGGTTGATTTGCTTGCTTGAATTATGGGGGAAGAATATGAAGAAGCCACCAGGAAAGAGAAACCACTTCAGCTGAGGTGGTTTCTTTTGAAACCACTCCTATTGTTTGTCGTTGTTACTAGGTGGTTTCTGAAAAGAAACCACTCCTACCGCCGTCGTTACTGGGAGAAACCACTTCTACCACAGTGGTTTCAAAAAGAAACAACTCCAACTCCAACTTCAACTAGCTAAATGCTGAACATCGATGGTAATCAACTATATCTACTGCTTTGTAGTTAGGAACACTCCAACTAGCGTAGCTATACAAAGATTGCATGCAAGCTTGATTTATGCTGGTACGATTGATCGTGGCGATCTTACTTGTTGTCTCTTGTTATTTTGAGTCGTGCATCCGTTGGAAAAAAATATCTTTTGAGTCTAACCTAACCCTAGTGCTCCTAGTCCGGATTGTTCAATTGTTCAAACCGGACTAGCAGCACCAGGGTTGAATGAGGCAACTGTGCAAACAAGTCAACGGCTACATGAAACACCTCTTAGAACGGTTTGCAAATTCAGTTGCTACGATTGTGCCATGGGATTGATGAATGGACGGTGGTATACCCAATGTCAATTCGTAACTACCATTCCAGGTTAGATATTAGATCTTGTAATGGGAAAATACCATTTGTTGGCTGGATCTAGATCGGCCAATGGGAAAAACAGATTGCTGAATGGGGATCCTGCCGCCTAATAGTGGTGCAGAGTTCAGATGTCCCTACTTTAGTCGCTTGGGTAGAGAGCGGCCTAAGTGTGTGGACCAAAAAACTCGACGAAAGCTTCAAAACGCGGCTCCATTTGGAATCGTCCAGAAGGGCAGATATGAGCTTGGTCAATGGCAAATGGATGGCGAATGGACAGACGACAGAATTGAAAAGATGCTGGACGAAGGATTTCAATTTGCTGAGTACGGAAAGAAAAACGGTAGTAATACCATCTTCACCAAGTGGGCTGGCGACGGAAAAGACTACAGCCGCATAGTCTTCAAGGAAAATGAAGCATACGTGTTTTTGGTCTATGGGGAGTGTACTATGTTCCATGGTGCTTTCTTCCCTTCCATGTACCCCAAGGGTTCCATTCCCAAGCCCCCCTTGATGTATCCACTTGGAGCACCAGCAGAAGAACAACATGAAATGGCCATGGTCAAATGGCCCGTGTTTGATAAGGAACAACCACAACAAAACGAGGAACTCCAGCAGGAACGTGGAGACCATCGGAAGTCAAGCTAACCTCAAGGAAAGGCCAGAAACAAAAGTCGAAGGCTGGAGGAGCAACGGGTCCGTCTACGACGCAGTCAGGTAAGAATCAAAAAGTGGGCGAAGCGGCCAGCGGGCAACGGATAAATCCCCGTCTAGAGACCTTCCCAACATGTGTCCCCTTCCGATGCCCCATTGCGTGGTCTTGTCTTTGCAGGCAGCCAATAGGTGCTGAAGGGGACGATGAGGATGTCCCCACCTATGAGGACCTAGTAGCTCAGTGGGAGGCAAAGTGGACTGAAAACAGAGAGCGTACGGAACAAGAGCTGGAAAGGCGCAAGGCGGAACAAAGAAACAGAAGACCATCAAGGACTTCTTTGCCCCTAAACAGCCCAACTGAGGCAATTTGATGTCGACCACACAAGTATTAGAACGACCGTCAACCTCTATCACATGTACCCTCTACTCTACCTAGTTCACCAGTGCCTCACAGGCTCACGAATAAACGCAAAATCTTGCCATTGCCCCACCAATGTATATGGCTTTGTTCATCCATCAGCCACATTCATAACCTGTACCGGTGCAGCTACCGCTGCGCTGTCATAGCCATTGCTTGGCACTTGACTGTTAGTCGTCTTCATCAAAAAGCAGAGGAGATTCCTGCTATCAGACAGAACACCCAGCGATCCACAGAACCGTGCTCCTCCGCCCCTTCTTTGAAACCTCCCTGATAGGAGGAATATCTTTTGTTTCTGTCGTGGATGCCTTTCATCCAGTTTCATCATGGTTGACGTGTCAACCACAAGGCCATGTATTGCCTTGTTGTTGTCTTGTTGTTGTCTTGTGACAGCAAGAAGACGCTTCAAAATGCCTCTCTGCACACTGGACATGTCAATGGAGAATCCATGTTTTTCTTGTGCAGTGTCACTAACCATTCTACAGCACATGTATAGTCAAAGGTGTGTCCACACGGCAGTTTTTTGATGGGCTTGCCATCCGATCCAACCATCCGTTGCTTGTTGGGAGATAAGAGCAAGGTGTCTTCTGATGGTAGTCCTGCGTCATCTAGATTGTTGTTATTGTTGCTTTCGTCCATGGTTTGAAAACTACTCCAACAGATGGGGCAAGATTGACCCGTGTAATCTTTGGTGATGTGAGGCGTTGGATGCTCCTGATGTTGTTGCTGTTGTGACCAAAACTTCCATTTCTGCTGTTCTTCAATATCCTGCAGCTTCTTCTCTGCTTTTCGGCGAATGTCCTTGAGTACATCGACCTCTTTGCGATGAGCTCGTCTCCACATAACCCAGTGATAGTAACAACGGATAAAAATGAGGATCATGGAAAACACATTGAACCCAATGAGCATCATTTGCGAGAGAAACTTTTCATCTTCACTGGTGAAAGCAGGGGTGTTCTCTTGAGTGCTGGTACCGTCCTTCTTGTTGTTGTTTCGGTTGCCTGATAGCAAGGATATGCGGAAGAATGAGTTTCCATCAACCCGCTTTCCTGACGTCACAGACGTAAAATGAGCCTCCGAGGTCGAAAAAGCAAGGCATGTTGGATGCAGCACTACCAACAGCAGCGAGATAAGGAGGATAGTTGTCTTGATTCTCATCATGATGTTGATCTTTTGCTCTTTGTGCTGCTCAACAGGCAAGCAGAACAGTGATGCTATTCACCGAATTGATGGTTCCTCTTTTGTTCTGTGATAGCGGAACTGACAGCTACAGCGACGTACCCGGTGACAGTATCTGAGAATTTCTCGCTCAGATTTGGATTCTTCTTTGAGGGACGTTGAGAACCTGATCCTTAATCATCCGTGCAAAAACAACCGTTGGCGATGACCAAACTTGTTCTTTTTGCACATCATTCGGGCAGTCCAGCAGCCGATATGATTGAACGGGGTTTACCCAGTAGGTCCGGCAGGGGCACCGGTAGGTAACTGGTATTGTTCTGGTGAAGGATTGTTGTAAAGTCAATGAGCAATACTGTAATGTCAAGGGTTGCATCCAACAACCCCAACGTATCCCGTACCGTACCGACACCACATGCCACTGAGCTGCAACCAGTATCAGGTTCCGGTATGAGTGGAGTGACGAGTCGAGTCTGTCCCTTGCTTGTCATTGCTTCTCACCACATGCAATACAGAGCACACCTGTATGCATAGGTACATCCCAGACCAAATCATCATCCCAAATCTCCTCGTCTTTAAAAAAAAGTAAGTCCAATTTTATGAAATAACCAAGCATTGTATACAGTAAAATCCTGCTTGGTATCAGCTTAAGATTATCTTCAACTGCGCCATTGGTTTAGTGGTAAAATTCAACGTTGCCATCATACCAGTAGCAACTTCGTTGAGCCCTGGGTTCGATTCCCAGATGGCGCACTCTTTTGACAATTTGTTGTTTGTAGTACCTTTGTCTACAGTGTATCTACCACAGCCACTAGCTAGTGCTAGACCTCTAGTTTAACCTTTGTTGACGCCCATGTTGGTTCCGAGCAGTGGGAAAACAGAAGGGAGGGAAGAGGTTTGGCACGCCAGTCGTTTTGACTTTTCTTGAAACTAGCTTGCTTGCCTTGCAGTACCGCATGGTATCAGAGCATGTTGGAAAGAGGTGCTTCCCACCGGAAAAGAAAGGAGTTGCGGTCTTTTAGTTACAGTAGTTTGCAGGACCAATAATTGCTCTCAGTGCTGGGTGGATATCTTCAACTGCCTGTAACTCCTCTTCTTCGTTAGTACACTCTGACGTTTGGAACGGTAAGCAAAGCTGTGTTGGCTGGTTAAGTTTCATGAGCTCTTGCCCGAAGAAGAGATTGGCCTTCTAAAGAACTGCTGAGGTCCTAGGTCGCTGGATCAGTTTGGGAATGGTTTTGGCAGGAAATCTTTGACTCACTAAATCTGACTCTTGAGCTTTCAAAATGTAATTGCCTGTGATGGTTGGTGATGGGCTGAGGGAAAACATGGACAGGCAGTGTCTACTTTGGACAAATCATTCAATTAGAGACCATCACATAAATGATGCTGATATATTACAGTCCTTCATCGTGAGACCCAGGGCATCCATTGTCACGTAGCCATTGGATCAGTTCCTTATGGCCATGCCCACAGGCAACTCGATATGTCTCTTCATCCCATGGACATCCATTTTCACGAGCCCAATTCAAAGATTCCAAATGTCCACATTGGGCAGCTTCAACACATGTCCGTTCATTCCAAGGGCAACCATTTGCGCGAGCCCACTTTAAAACTTCCAAATGCCCATTTTGAGCAGCACCCCAGCATGTCTCTTCATCCCATGGACAACCATTTTCACGAGCCCACTTTAGAACTTCCAAATGACCATAGTAGGCAGCCCACGAACATGTCTTTGTATTCCATGGACAACCATTTTCACGAGCCCACTTTAAAACTTCCAAATGTCCATTTTCAGACGCACCATTGCATGTCCAATTATCCCATGGACAACCATTTTCACGAGCCCACTTTAGAATTTCCAAATGTCCACTTCGAGCAGCCAAGTTGCAAATCTTATCTTCATCCAATGCTAAACCATTTTCATGAGCCCACTTCAAAATTTCCAAATGGCCATTCACTGCAGCTGCTTCGCATACACAATAATCCCATCGACAATAACGATTTGCACGAGCCCACTTTATAACTTCCAATTGTCCATTTGCAGCAGCAACAGTGAATATCTGTCTATCGTGGACAGTCATGTGCACGAGCCCACTTCAGAATCTCCAAGTGCCCACTTGCAGCAGCAAAGTTGCAAGTCCTTGCATCCCATGGACAACCATATGCACGAGCCCACATCAAAATTTCCAAATGTCCATGTTGGGCAGCATTATGGCATGTCCATGAATTCCAAGGACAACCCTCCTCTCTTAACCAAATCAGCATATACAAATGTCCACCCTTAGCAGCTTCTGCACATGTCCATGCATCCCATGAAAAACCATTTTCACCAGCCCATTTGATGAGAGTCAGCTTTCAACTTTTGGCAATGACAGTGCAAACTTGATGACGACCAGGTTTTTTGTTGCTGGAACTATCCTTCAGCCAGAATTCTGCGTTTTCTTCAGCTCAATTTCGCAGTAGCCTTTTTGTACAGCTGATTCATCTTTTTGCTGACAGCTCCTACAAAAGCATACTGCCCAACACCAACAAAAGGTAGAATGCATTGGGTCCAAATCTCGTCGTCAGGCAACAAAGCGGAAGGAAGAGACATCTTTTGTTTCTTATTGTTGTTAGCACTGCTATTGGCAGCAGCAGCAGCAGCAGCAGCAGCACTACCAGTACTCTTGCCAATGCCAATACTAATACTAGCTGAAGACATGATCAACAATCAGATTGACTATAATAGCAGTATGCGGGTTGCCAAAATGTGGTTGGATCGATGGACCGTGTTTTTGTGGGAATGGGGAGGTGCGAGGAATGGACGCCAGATCGCGAGTGCAGCGTGGAGTGCATCCATCGAGGTTCGACACGATACTGTCAACTCGTACATGCTCGCAGCGGGAAAACCATTATCAATGATAATGGGTTCTTTTTGCACGCTTAAGGAAATATGTTGTCCCTACTTGGGTGCGATGGAGATTGACTGATCAATCCATCGCTTGGCGGGTCAAGCAAGAAGACGTTAAAGAAAATCGTAACCAGAGTTACTACCAGGTACCTGGTAGATGAGGTCAAGGACTGCCCACGAACGATGATATTGAGCTCCAACCCACCAAGTACTGTACGTCACTAACTAATACGTACTAACTAATACGTATTTTACTGGTTCCGCCATGGTTGTATCGGGCCTCAGCCAGTTCGGCATCGGCGGAACCTGGGAATCGAATCGACATTTTCATCGGTTCGATTCCCAGAAGGCACAGCCATTATTACACCCACACACGTATCTATCTTTTACGTCAAGGGGCAGATCCCCTCGTAGTGGCTGGCAGTAGCTACGGTATGCATACCAGTAGTGTGAGGAGGATGGCTCTTTCCCATCAACCACGGTACCGGTATGCCGATGCAACCGGAAACAAACCGAGAAACCGATACTACAGGTTGTGCCAGTGGTAGCACACCTGAAACGAACAAAGAAGTTTATGCGACTTTGTGACCTCAGGATGGAAGAATGGAATCGCGCGACCACCAATCGTGTTTTCGGTGAACCTCACCTAAATGTCGCTTGAATTTTAGTCCAACGTTCACCTCACCTGTTGGAACGGCATTCGGATCGTGCACAAGATCCAAACGAGATCGAGATCTCACTTCTTTCTTGGTTTCCTCCTCCTGCCACTTCTTGGTTGTTGTTGGTGTTGCTGCTCTTCTTGTGGTACCAACACACACCAAAACCAACTCTCTTCACCACACACAACAAGTTGCTTGTCTTGACTCCCTCAGCTTCGTATATTCTTGATTGATTCGATTGATTCATCCGTCGCAACACCAGCAAATCAAACGACAACTCACTACTACATCCCTCATATTTTATTATAATGACACTCCAATGGTGCGCCGAAGCAGAGTCGTATGTGCAAGAATTGACCAGTGAAGGAACACCCAGTGTCGACTATGTCTTGTTTTCGTTAGAGAATGCCAAGAGTGCGACTCCCAAAATGGAATTGTACAGTATGGGCAAGGGCGGTCGCAACAAGGTGGAAGAATTGTTATTGCCAGAAACCCATCGCGTCCTGACGGGTGCCTTTTTGGCATCCGCCATTGACGAGCGCGGTTCGATAGTGAGTGTCCGTCGCAAATACATTCACGTCATTTGGGTCGGAACCCGCGTCGGGATCATGATCAAAGGAAAAGTCAATACCAGTTTGACACAACCCTTCAAAGATGTCTTTCCGGGATGTGCCCATTATGTGCAACTCAGTGATGGCGATGTCGACGATTTGCAAGCGGAACTCTTGGAAAAAACATTATTGGCGGCGGGAGGAGCCCATAAACCGACGCGCTACTCGTTCACCAATCGAACATTGATTGGAAGTTTGAGTCTCGATGAGAGTGCGTACGACAATCAAGCAGCCGAAGAAGAAGAACGACGCCGAGAACGATTGCGGTTAGAAGCGGAAGCAAGACGCCAAAAGGCCGCCGAAGCCGAACGACAACGATTAGCGGCAGAAGAAGCCAAACGACGAGCGGACGAAGAAGCACGACGGGCAGCCGAAGCGGAACGACGTCGTGCCGAACAAGAACGGATGCAACGAGTCTTGGCACAAGAAGAAGAACGAAAACGACGCGACGACGAAGCACGGCGTAAAGCATATCTAGAAGAACAAGCTGCCAAAAATAAAGCCGCTGCCATGACCCCCAAGGCAGCCCTCCGCGACAAGAGTCTCATCATGTTAATTTCCAGCATGTCGGGAAACATGACGACATCCACCAATCAAGCACGAGCGTCCAACATGTTGAAAGGGCTCGATGTCGTGCCCGAATTAGTCGATGGAGCCGATCCTGTAAACAAAGATTTGCGGACGCAACTCTTTGGAATTAGTGGACAACGTGGAAAATATCCACAATTCTTTATTCGAGAAAAAGATGGATCACTCAAATTCTTTGGCAATATGGAAGATTTTGATTACTACAATGATACCGGTACATTGGCACAACAGTTGGGCGGATGTTTGTCGCCCAAAAATAATAATGGCGCCGAGGATGCTCCTCCTGTTCCCATGGTAGAATCCACCTTGAATGGAAACAAGCTATTGTTGCTCATTTCCAGCATGTCGGGAAGTTTGGAAGTCGCATCCAATCAAACTCGCGTACAGGGCATTCTCAAAGGATTGCATTTACCAAAGGAAGAAGTAGAAGTCATGGATGGGTGTGAGCCTTCGGTCAAGGAACGAAGGAATGAATTGTTCGGCATTAGTGGAATTCGGGCCAAGTATCCACAACTCTTTCTCGTCAATATCAATACTGGAGATACATCGTTTGTGGGAAATTTTGACGATATCTGTTACTTACACGACACAAACACATTTGGTCAATCCATTGGGTTGGTATCCAAGGCGGATGCAGACAACAACACTGCTGCTGCTGTTGTTACTGCGCCACCACCAGAAACGATCCAAAATAACGAAAAAGCTGCTCCACCTGCTGCGGCCAACACATCAACAATGCCCAACGAAGCCAGTGATACTACTCAAAACATCGCGGCCAATAACGAACAAGCAGGGGGGAGCAGCAGCAACAAAGGTGAGAATGATGTTGCTGTTGCGCCAAACTACTCTTATTACGTTCCGGTTGTAAATCCACATGATGACACAAAAACAACATCTGACCAAAAGCCCACTACTACTACATCTACTACTGGCTTAAGCCGCAACAGGGCAAGAATCAACAAACTTGGCATTGCCCGAGGAGGAGTCAGGACAGCATATAGTTCCAGACGAGACTCCCTCGAAAACAACACAGGAGGAAGCAACATCACAGCCAGAGCTGCAGCAGCCGCCGCCATTGGAAGACTCGAATCCTTCGACCACAGCAACAACGGAGGAGGAGCCACAACTATCGTCGACAACAACAACAACGAAAACACCAGAGAAACCAGACGAAACGAAAACGTTAGTCCAGGAGGAACCCCCGCAGCAGCCGGTGGAGGAACCGCCTTTGGGAGTAACGACGGAGGAGGAGGAGAAGGAAAAACCAGCAGCCCCGGAGGAACCACCACAACCAGCTCCGCTGTCGGACCCGCAAAGCGAACCCTCCGCGAACGACGCAACATTGCCAGAATGCGAGCCAGACGCAGTGCCGCTGCCCGAAGCTAGCGAGAAGGCGACAAATGGTGGTGTAGAGGAGGAGGAGACGCCGGAGGAGCCAGTGGGCGAGCCTCCAGATGCTGGTGATGGAGGAGCCGATACGGCAACGGATGCAGACATAGTAGCCAATGACGACAAAGGAGATCGTGAAGTGACGAATGGTGGCGAGCAGCAGCCTGCTAAAGACGATGATAACATTCCACAATCTGCCGAAGGTGATTCGTCTGCACCAGTGGAGGGGGGCTCTGGAGAAGAAGACGCTTTGCCAGAGAATTCTGCAGCTTCTGAACCTGACAATGTTGATGTTGAAGTAACAGAAAAACCAATCGACAGTGAAGGAACGATGCCAGATGATGACGAGGGGCCAAGTGACCTTCACGGAGTTGAATCTTCCGTCATTGACGAGACCGACCTGCCACCATTGGTGGGAAGCGACTCGGCCATGGACTTCGATGCAAACGAGGCTGGTACTAATTCTGAGTTGGATCACAAACCAGAAGGAGACGATGGAGCTCCCAGTGGTGTAGAGGAGAGCGAGCCACAGGCGTTGGCGGAAGAAACCGAAGGGTGATCCTGAAAAGTTTGAGGATACGCACTGAAGGGGGAAAGAACGGGGTGCCGGTTCTTTTAGTAGAGCGTTATCTACGTAGTACACTTTAACCCATGAATGATATAGAGAGGAACAATACAGCTCCAAAGGAAATGCAGTATTACCTTTACCGTACATTTAGTGTGAATGAAGAATGATTGAACGAACGATCTAAGCTCCCGGCTTCTCCCTTTCTAGCGGACAGCACTTTCGCGAGATTTGCCCTGTTCTCCTCATCTCTTCCCCCATGGAATGGGACGCTCGCTGTTGGATACTGTGCGGTACTCCGCACTCACTGCCCATACCCTCCATACACAGCGTTTTGGCTTCCTTGGTATCCAGAACCTTGCTGATAGCCACCACCACTTTGACCTCCTTGATATCCAGACCCTTGCTGATAACCAGAGCCTTGATTGCTGCCACCTTGGCTTCCTTGGTATCCAGAGCCTTGACTGCCGCCACCTTGGCTTCCTTGGTATCCAGAACCTTGCTGATAACCAGANCCTTGATTACCGCCACCTTGGCTTCCTTGATATCCAGACCCTTGCTGATAACCAGAGCCTTGATTACCACCACCTTGGCTTCCTTGATATCCAGACCCTTGCTGATAACCAGAGCCTTGATTACCGCCACCTTGGCTTCCTTGGTATCCAGAGCCTTGTTGGGATCCGGAACCTTGATAGCTGCCGCCACTTTGGCTTCCTTGATAGCCAGTGTCTAAGCCCGAGGGTGGCACCAGCACAGAATCGATGAGATGGATGACACAATTGCTGCCCAAAATGTCGGGAACAACCACCTGAGCTTCGTTGACGAAGGTGTTGTAGGAGTAGTCCTCGGAAATTTCGACGAAGCTGCCCTCAAGAGTGTACAGGTAGTCACCGTTTTGCAGATCATCGCTGAGAATGCCAAAGTCCAAGACATGGTACAGGAGGATGTCGACAAGGTCACTTGCACGGATTGAGCTGTGCCCGGCTTCCCTGAAAGCCTACGTGGATAAAGCAACCAGCAAATTGTGTTAGAAAGTCCAGCTTGACTGAGTCTCGAAAGCAGTGCACACCAGAAGCAACGGTCGCATGTTGCCCTCATTTTCGAGACTTACATTATTCTTGGGCGCAAATATTGTTGTACTGGGGTACCTTGCAATGTCATCCTCAAGACCAGCCCTTTGCAAAGAAGCAGAAAACAGGTCCAATCGAGAGTTGGAAGCAATCAAGTCTACGCAGTTGGGCGGCGGGATGAGCACACCATCCACTTTATGGATCAGGCCATTGCTGGCAGTAATATCAGCTTGCGTGACACTGGCGGAGGTGTCAGTGCTCTTGAAGGTAACTCCGTACTGAGAAACTTGTACGATCATATTCTTGTTCGTGTACGACCTGTAGAGCCCGTTTCCCAAGGATGATGACGGAACGTTCATACCAAAGACATGATACAAGAGGATAGCCTCGAGCGTGTCCGTGTCGAGGGCCTGAACAGCGTTGATTCCAGCTTCAGCAAAGGCCTGGACGACAAGGAAACGGCAGACAAGACAATCAGTAAGAAGACGAGTAAACTGCTTGAATGCTTCGACGACCAATTCATCGTCTTACGCGATCAGTAGGGGCTAGCAAAGTGAATGGTCCGGGCCCAGTCAGTACAGTGTCGAGCCCTGTGACACGCAGAGCAGCTTCAAGAATGTCGAATGAGCCGCTCGACGCAACAATAGCTGTGATGGTGTTACCAGAATACGCTTGACCGCCTCCTCCGTATCCACCACTGCCAACACGGAGACAGATATTTTTGGTGAGCTGGTTTCGCTTGTGATTTATAGCTTCAATCAGGGCATGTCTTACCTTCCGCCTCCTCCACCTTGACTGCTACCGGAACCAGACCCCTGGGAACCTCCTCCTCCTTGGTAGCCATCACCAGAGCCACCGCTTCCATTGTAGCCAGACCCCTGGGAACCTCCTCCTTGGTAGCCACCACCAGAGCCACCGCTTCCACTGTACCCAGACCCCTGCGAACCTCCTCCTTGGTAGCCACCACCAGAGCCACCGCTTCCACTGTAACCAGACCCCTGCGAACCTCCTCCTCCTTGGTAGCCACTTCCAGAGTCATACCCATTACCAGTACCCTGGCCTCCATTGTAGCCAGAACCGTAGCCAGCACCATAACTGCTGCCCCCTTGGCTTCCTTGATATCCACTTTCATGGACAAACGACAGAGACAACAATGTTAGCAAAGTTACTTGAAGTCCTTTCCAACGGCAAACATGGTTGTGCAAGGAGTGCATTACCTTCCACCTTGTCCACCTTGATATCCACTGGAAAGGAAAAGAATGAGACAAAGGGCATTGGAATTGCCCCCAAACAGGCTGCTGCGTTACTGCTTTCCACACATACCTTCCTCCTCCTCCTTGATAGCCATTCCCGGCGCCATAGTCAGCAACTGCAAACACCGCCCAGGATGCCAAGAGTAGGGTGCGAAGAAACATCATCTTGCTACTGATGTCAAAGCCTTGTCAGTGTAGTGGAAGTCAACGGTAAGCTTACGCGACAAAAATAAATAAATGAGGGTTGTGATTGCCATCTTTCCCAAAGATCCGCCCGGTTCGATTCCGGAGACGAAACATTATTATAACGCTTCAATTTGCCAACGGGCCAAAAGATAGCGCAGACCAATGGGCGGCTGGCTGCTGTCTCTCTGGCTGCCGGTACCAGTACAGTCGTACCATGGTTTCGGTAACAGACACCATTCTCGATAGTTGACATGGCGTTAGGTTTTGCGCTATCATGATGCTTGGGTGCGCGCTCGGCAAAGCAGATTTATGCTTTGATTAGAACCCCACGTATCGCCGAAGTTGTGCCGCTGGAGAGCTGAGCCTCGTATGGTACTGTTGGGTTTGGGTGATGGAACTGGTACGCCGGTACAAGTTGCTTGCGCACAATCGTAAGAGAATGGCGGGGATCTGTGAGATCTCGAAATGACTTTTGTAAAAAGTGATCAACGTTAACAGTGAATACTAGCTAGTGTATGAATGAAAGAGAACACAAGCCAGGCTCCAAGGAAGAAACTATGTAAATCGTATCCGGCCAGTTTAACTTGCGCTGGGTGCATTTTTGGATGTTTTGATCTGTTTGAATAACATGGCCAACAAGCCTAGCCTGTTCGCCAAGTTTGCCGCCACCTTCTCTCTGAAGTGTCACCAAAACAGACCCCCCAAGTTTACCCTTAGCCTTGCTCAACCCTACACTGTCCACAACCAGAGATCCTTGGTTTCCGCCTTTTGCAACAACCCATGTCCCTGGGTTGCGTGGGCAAAAGTGTTGGAAGAAAAGGGACCGGTCAACAACAATGAATCTTAAGGATCAGGCCTAAAGCCAACGAATCTGCCCAAGAGACAATTGCCGCAAGATCCGATATTGGTATCAGATCCGTGATCACCGTGTCCATACCCATTGCCCTGATGGTTTTCATGTCCTTGACCCTTGCTTGATGAGTGTCCAACTCCCTGGGGTCCGTGCTGACTTCCCTGTTGGACAGCAGATCCTTTGTTTCCACCTTGCCCCTGTGCGACCGCGGGCACCATCAAGGATGCCAAGAAAAACGTGCGAAGAAGAAGCACCATGGTCGTATGATACTGACAACACAATATTTGAAGAGTTCCACTTATCAGATCGAGTTGTTGATAGAAGAATCGAACAGCAATGCACTGTTTCGGGCTTCACGAGGTTTGTGGGCATCCGGAATGGAAATCGAGCTGTGGACCAGTTCGCTAGCTAGCTAGAAGGTAGAAAGCAGCAGGCTTCGCTTTCCAGTCTACAAACAAAGATCCTTGTGTTTTCACCCTTGAGTCGAATCGAATCTGGATTTAATCCTTTATTGAATCATCTCAGCTAAGTACTATGGTTCAAGATGGTTGTCATGAGCATTGAGCATGCTTCTACAGTCGTATGAAGTATGCAGACATGCACTCCAGTGAAGCAATTTTCATAAACTGGCCCATAGTATTGCGTGGTGTCATGCCAGTGGTGTAAATGACAATCATGAAGCGAACACCATACGGATTCTGAAAAAGGTGTGCTTCTCTGTTTTTATCAATTGCAGCAAAAAGTGAGTATTCTAAAGGCTTGTCTCTGTCAATCCCAGTAAATTATATTTAGAATACTCACTTTTTGCTGCAATTGATAAAAAAAGTATTCTAAATATAATTTACTGGGATTGACAGAGACAAGCCTTCAGGCCCTGGAGTTCTGGTGCCGAGTGGCACGAGGCAACAGAACTGTGGCTTGATGGGTTGACTCTGTGGTACTATTTCTATGGATTATATAAAACAGTATTAGCACTCTCACCTTTTGTGCAGTAAAAATTGATAGATGATACCAACCACAGATGCTTGGCTTGTCCTTTGACTGATTGGCCTGCTGCTGTGGCTGGCCATGGGCACAGTCAGTACACGTGTGGTTGCTGGCGGGTGCACTGAATTAATCAAACGAATGAAACAAGTGCTGCCTAACATGGAGGGGTACAGTTGCATTCGTTTGGTAAAGGTGTTTAGGAATCTCGGTCAAAGCCCAAGACAGCGAAGACCTTCTTCGTTGGATTGAAGCAACGCTTCCCAAGCAAGCGATGTAGAAGGTGGTCACCCGCAGCCCAACTTCACACATGCATTGAACCATGCTATTCACCTGCAAACCTACTACGTACCAGACTGGTACAAGGATGTCAAAAGGCACCCCCTTACCGGTACATGTACCGGTACGGCACCGCCCGCGAGATTACAAAGATCTTGGCCCGAGTCTCTTCAGAGAGAACTCAGCAAAAGCAAGGCCGAAATTTTCTGCCGCAATCACGACCCACACGCAAGACAGCCCTAACCGCAAGAGTCACTCACAAGATCCAAGAAACCGCAAAATTCAGAGAGGCTGAACAAAAATCGGGATCCTTGCGAAAGAATGATGAACCAATGCAATCAATGCCATGAATCGTTCCATCATTTATCAAGCTCCTCTTTCTGTGAGGCAGCTAAAGAAGATTGAGTGGCTGCTCATCCAATCATCTTCTGGTACTTTATTTGGACAAAGACAAGAAGCCAAGCCATGAGGACCGAACTTCTTTCCCTCTTCTTGTCCGTGTTTGTATTGTATTGTTTCCTGCGGCCCGGAAACAATCAAGACGTAGCGGAAGGCCGACGGCTTCGATTGACCAGGTCTGAATCAAGTGATTGTCAGCAGCATGACAGACAGACTACCTTTGAACTTCCACACTCCATTATCACCAAGACGCTTTACGCAGCAGAAATATCCGCAATGACCTACTCCACAAGGCTGTTCCAAACTCCAGAAAAGGGAGATTTTGACTTTATGGAGCAATTTTTTGATCTTGACGATGTCGCGTTGGTAGCCAGACGGGACGGTGTGTGCTATGCTGCCTTTAGGGGAACTGTAGCCACCAATCTGCTTGACATATACCAAATCTTTGACGACAAACCAAAGAGTGTGAATGGTTGCTTGGTCCGTCGGGGCTATCATCGTGCCTACTTTGCTCTATACTATAATAGGTTCATGGCCAAGGTAGAAGACTGTATGAATACAGGTGGAACAGAACTAGTGGTAACAGGCCACAGCCAGGGTGGAAGCAATGCCATGATTGCCTTTTTGGATTTGCAACGTTTCAATCCAACTGCCATTACCTTTGGAGCCATGCGGGCCTTGGTGGAACCCTGTGATACCGTGGACAGCAGCAAGATTTATCGATACACCAATGTGGGCTACAATCTCTACGATGGGTGGTCTAATTGTTTGGAAATCAAAGGTGTTCACATGGGACATTCCATCATGCTAGACGCCAATTCTACTAGTCCTGCCGTATACTTGGGCCTCGATGAAGATATCAATCGAAGTCCTATTACAAGAGATGTGCATTCTGGGTGGATCTATTGGGATGCCTTGGAGGCGATGCTGGAGAAGGCCAAGTTGGAACGAGACTTAGACGCGTGCACATCAAGATCTCCTGATGCCCCCTTGACCGTGAAGCTGCGTGGATGGGAAGATGGACACTGGTGCTCTCGACCGGATGAGTGTCAAACTGGATCGACATGTGTAGAGGGAGAATGTGTGGCAATCGAGGGGAACTAATGATTACCAACCAAACCTCTTCCTGGGTTCAGTCCAGGCAGCAGCCTACCGTCAAAAGCCAGCCAGTATCTTCCCCTTCTGTGCTGGCTATAAGCTAGACAACAATGTATTTCTAACCGGTACCAGTACCTATATTCTTGATCGTATTTTCATACTTCCAGCTAAAGAAGTGGGAGTTCATGTCACATGACTCTAATTCCGAAGGCGCACCTCTTGGTCGTGTCGTGGGAGTCAAATTTTGGCCACACCACATCGCGCTGTTCTGGATTGCATCCCAATACATACTGCAAACGGGCAACTTGCTAGCTAGCCAGACTGTCATCTGCTGTTGTACTTGAACCAAGATGAAGCTCGCAGCGGTTGTTGTCATTGGGCTGTCCCTGATTGCTCAGGTCGCCGAGTCCTTTGTCCCACCATCATCACTGCCGACGAGCCGATTGGTTGGAGGACAACGTCGAGGGGAATCTCTAGTATTTCAACCTACTACTATTGCATGGCCCACCACGGAGGAAGAAAAGAATGTTGGCCATCGGCCATCACCACTCGCCGCCATTAGTCCAACGGTAGCTGCGGCCATTGGTCACGTCATTGCCGGAAACATGGCCACGCCATTTGTCCTGGATGCCGTGGTGACTTGGTATAAACGCATCCCGTTGCCATCCTGGACACCTCCCAATGGTATTTTTGGCCCCGTGTGGGTCGCCCTCTATAGCAGCATTGGAGTGGCAGTTGCCCGTGTCGCCGCCAAGAGCGGCTGGAAGTCGTTGCCTGTTCAATTGTGGGGTGTGCACATGGCGTTGAATCTCCTATGGGCGCCTCTCTTCTTTGGCATGGCCAAGTTGCGTGCCGCTCTCGCGGTCAACTATCTCATGGTCACGTCGCTGCCGATTTTGATGGCACTGTATGCCACCGTAGACACGACCGCTGCGTGGCTTCTGGTCCCCTATACGGTACGTAGGATGTTTGTTTTGATGTGATATCATCATAATCACAAGCTTGGGCATCTCGTTGTCTCTTGACTCATTCTATCTCTCTCTTGTTGCTCTCTTCTAAAAAAATAAAGGCATGGGTGACGTTTGCCACAATTCTCAACCAGGAAATTTGCAGGCTCAATCCCATGGACGGGCAAGGATACAGCAATGCGTTGCTTGAAGCAGATATTGCCAAACTACAAAAGGAAGCGGCCAAAAAGGCGGGGTTGTAGGGTTTTTGTCGGCAAAAACAATGTCATAATCTCGAGGCCGGACTTGTACAGCAGCATGCCACACGTCAAGAAAAACTTCCAAGGACAACGCCTGGTCCACAGCACGCTGCAATCATCGCTATAAGCACTACTAGGCAAGCTACAAACGGACCAATCCAAAGCGGAGCCTTGGGGAGAGTCGATCAATTTCAGTTTTGTGAGTAGAATTGTCTTGTTCTAGATATCATTATTTAGACAAGCGAGAACCTGTACTTCCATTTTTCGCGTAGATTTTGTGAATTGCATTCTCTCTTTCTTTACAATACTATCATTTATATATAGAATATTTATGGAGCCACAGGCATGAGCGTGTAGGTTTGCGTCTCGACAACGGAAATTCCGTCAATCGCCTTGAGTTTGGCCAAGAATGTCTCTTCGGGCGCAAACTTGGCTTCTTCCCAGGCTCCAAATTTCTCGGCCGGAAGCGACGTGATGACTTTGAAATCCATGCATCCACCACAAACAACACGATCGGTCTTTTTAAATCCGTCGACCTTTTGAATATCACCAATGACTTCTTTCAATGCCTTTTGTGCTTCGACGAGGGCTTTCTTGTCATTGTCGGGCGACCATTTGCATCGCCATTCACGAGCGACCGTGTCGAATTCGACGCCTTCGGCAATGGTACCCATGGTTCTACTCCCAAAAACAAATTGCAAAAGTAGAAGTAGTAGTGAGAAAATGGAATGGATAGCGAGAAAAAATGAGGGGAGGGGTACCAAAGAAGCGTTGTGGCAACTGAAATCTGCTGTACTTACCGATAGAGTGATGGCTTGGGAACAACGGAGTATGAGAGTCTAGGTGCAAGACGAGAAGCGATGAGCAACATGCTAATCGATCCGAAGGCGATCACAAGCAAGAAGTGTAATGATGGCTGACTTTGAATGGTGTGAGTGAGAAGCCAAATAAGATACGTGGAGCGAACCCAAAAGATCCAAAAGATCCAACAAAATGCTCTAACTCTAATGGAGATCAACCAGCGGGACTCACAGCACGAACCACTTTTTCGCTTCTTTCGCCTCCACCCTTTCGCGTTCTCTCACTCTTTCGCCTCGTTGTTTGCTGTTCCATTATTGTATCCAAGCAATTAATTCGTCGTTCACCATGATGCCCCAGTCCGGAAACCTAGATGGCCAGCCTCAAGGCCCCAATGCAAACTCCTCGCTGATGGGATTTTTACAGTCGCCAGGGTACGTGCCCAGCCATTTCGCCGAATTTATTTTTTCGTAGTGGACACATGTGCATGCCAATGATGGTGCTATGCATTCCTACGATCGACGTGTGGTGCCTCCCAGTGGACGATTTACCTCTTTGAAGAAAATTAATTATTGGGGGATTACTGTGCGGATTTGAAAATTTGGAAAAATAATAATCCTTTTGTCTCGCTCGGTTCAGTTGGAATTTGTTTTAGTCCAATGACCAACAAGCCATGTTCATTCCATGTCTCACTCCATCCACTCAATCCATGCCATTTTTCTATATTTTTTCTATTACTTCAGAACACTCCTCCAAGGCTACGATCAAGTTCCAGGGGACATGATGTCGTCGGGACTCTCCAATTCAGTAGCCGGCATTTTCAGTCGGGAAAATTTGCGGTCTCCCGCCGTCGTGTTGGGATCGGGAGAAGATCAGGCATTTAGTCTCGTCTTGTCGCCGCCGTCGCTCTTGGAACGCATTCGACACAATATTGGATTCTATTATTTGAATTATCTCTTCTTGACGGCCGCCATTTTTCTCCTCAATGTCTTTTTCAGTCCGGGATCTTGGATGGCCATGCTTTTTTTGGCTGTGCTTTGGGTCGGAATGGTCAATACCATTACGGACGAACGACTCTTGAAAATTGGATGTGCGTTATTGTTTCAATCATGATGTGTTATATATATGGATGATTTATTGACATGACAAAATCTCACCTTTTTTACATTTTTCTTTTCTTCTTTAGCCATTTCCCTGTGCATCTTTAGCGCCTTGGTACTGTGGTGGGCCTTGCCCATCAAATGGACGTTCTACTTGAGTGGATTCTTGATTGTGGCGCATGTATTGTTTCGGGATGCATCTTCCATGCAGATGCAAGGATATCAGGATCCCATGGCAGGGATCCCGCACAATGCTGGATTCTATCAGGGGCCACAGCTGGTGGGGGCATAATTGAAAAAAGAATACAACGAAACAACTACATCCACGCAATCACACATCACAACAACAATCTACTAGTACAATCATTTGCAAGCAACACAGTTTAATAAAAAGGCATCGTCCAGCAGAATGCATCCACAATTTCATTTCATTGTTTCGTGGTGTGGTTTCGTGGTGTGGCCTGGGTTGGATGGAATCGAATCATTATCCTGACAATTAACCACCACGATAGCAACGGAACCGGTGCAGTCAGCGTACCGGTACGGAGTAACGGGCAATAGACAGCGTTCCATGTTTTCCTTGTGCCCTTTCTTTTCGTCTTTTGCGACTCACGGGTAACTTTAAAGTACTCGATTGGATAGCTGATTTCGGGGCAGTCCTTCAGCCTCCTGGGTAACGTTTTTAGTTGGTTGGCTTCCTTTCCTCGGGAATCCATCTCTAGTAGAGCTAGACTAGATAGCTTGTTCTTTTTCGAATTTCCCCCTCCTATTGCCAAGAGCAAGCCTCTGCCCGGGGGTGGAGCTTGGGTGAATGTGGGACCTCACGTCTTGCTGTCACGGGCAAAGAAAGTCTTATCATAGCAGCTGCAAAGCACCATCCCAACCAATCGATTTGAATTTTTCGCTTGATGCTTCGACTCTAGCGAGCTAGCTAGCAAGTCACCACAGTCGAGTTTCGTTTTCATGGTCGCTTCACCGATCGATGTTCCTTGGGCGGTCAAAGCAGAAGCACCGCATCGTTCGTGCGAATATCTCCCTTGCTGTTGTTGCTGCAATTTTTCAAGTTGCTATCTACGTCTGTGCAAGTCTACTCTGCAAGGCTTCTACCGGTATGGTACAACATACATACATTAGCAGTTTCACTGATTGAAGGAGCCAAGTCACACTTCCATATTGCAAACAGGGCATGTGAGACCACCCATTCTGCGCTTGGTTCGTATAGCTACCATCCACTCTGTTATACATGTGCGATCAAACACATGTCCACATGGAAGTGACTTGATTGGCTTCCCATCAGATCCTTTTTGTCCTTTCTGAAACAAAGGGGTGTTTTCAGTGGCGATTCCATCTTCCTCACCCTCGTTGCCATTGGGCGGAAATGGCTCTAAACAAATGGGACACACATTTGACATGTAGTCCCCTTCAAGATATTGCTGCCCCGAGGAATGTTGATTGTTGCTGCTATTCCTATAATGCTCCTCAATTTCTTCCATCTTCTCTTCCACCTCCTGCAGAATCTCGTCGTGTCTTTCTTCTTCCACTATCCGTTGTCGTCTCCATGCCCGGTATCCCAGAAAAAGGTCCAGACAACATAAAGGTAGATACCCAAAACAGGAGCAACAGAACAGCAACAACCAAGAGGCAAAGCCGAGATGCCGCAAGTGTTCTGATAAAAGATAGCCTTGCAGAGCAGTAGGGTCACCTTCCAAATAGGCGGTCAAGTCCAATGTAGCTGCATGTATAGCTTCACCGTAGAGACCACGTCGTAAGAATGGCAGCATTCCATCTTTCACCGATTGGACAACAAGCCCTGACAACACTCTTTCCAACTCATAACCCCATGACATGTACACAAATGCCTGGTTACTGGGAGTGACAACCATGTACAAGAGGACTCCACAGGGACCAAGGGAAAAGGCAGTTCGAAGGTTGTCCACTGAAACACTGTTTCTGGGTCGACGGAAATGCCGAATAAAGATGCCCATGTTGATACCATCATGCAGACATTGAAATGTTGAGTTCTTCTTGAGGAAGGTCAACTGGCTGGCGATCTTGTCAATGTCATCATCACTTAACAGATGATTCGGGTCACACAGAAGTGTGCTGTTTTCGGCAGCAGGAAGACATGGAGACGACGTTCCGCTAATAAGTATGCCATATGAAGGTTCTTCATCAACCAGTAGGGTTCTTAGTGATCGTGATGAAGTAGCTTTGACTGAGAGAATCCACGGCGTCAAAAAGACGAGGTGCCCCAACCATCGACACTTCATGACGTTGGGCGGTTGCTTGGTTGCGGTATCGTAGCAACTGGCAGCCGGTGCTCCTTTAACAAACTGTCTTGACTATCCAGCCGAGATGGCAACTCTATCACAACAATGTTGAGTGTGGCTCGTGCTTTTTCGTTTTTCAACCACCATGATGATGGACAGTGAAGCCGTGAGTTGCGTTGACACGTTGACACACCGTCTCCCTGGGTTGAGATCTTGGGCTTCGCCTCAAATCGTGCGTATGCTGAGTCCAAGTCAGTCCGGGAGATGAGTCCACAGTCAATTGTCGGAAAGGAAGTCCAGCGATGCCCTATTAGGATGGCTAGAGCTAGAAAACTCTGAAGACTTTTCGTAAGTAAAATTGATTCCCACCTTATGGAGTTAGTGCTGGGGCATTCGAACACCAGAGAGGTGGCTGGTAGCTAGTTTGTTGGGGGCAGTCGAAGAGCCGTGGTTGGCATGGCTGCACTGTGCAGTGATACCAGCACTCCTCAAGTGGGATTCTGTAAGATTGCATGGCTTTACAGTGCTCTTCGCACAACCCCCAACCCCCTCAATCAGCCTGCATGACACAGCCCTAGCTACCGTACCGGGTAGTAGACAATGCCCTCCGCAGTCAGACATAGTAGCAATCATGGCACCAACCCGTACCACTGGTGACACTCTCCAAGGCAATTAGCGTGCTTCCGTGTCAGCAGAGCTGCAATCTGCCTCCAAAGCAGCAGCAACAGAATTCATATGCCCCCTGGGTCGTCTCCGTTTCCAGTACTAGTTTAACTTGTCTACTAATACAGGATAATGGTGAATAGAATCGAATGAATCATGTGGCTTATATTTAGGGTTTAGGTTTTGCAAAAAAAGAGAGAGATGGCCTTCGACGATTGCGGGCCATCATGGTTCCCGTCGCAACATTATTACAAGCCACTACGCACGCACACCATCCCCGCCCCCACCTTCTACTCCACCAGTTCGCCTTCAAGCTGCCACACTGCCTTCCCATGTGTTTTGCACTACACCCCGTCTTTGTTGTTTTGTTTCCTGGTTGAAATTTGTAGGGCTTCTTGGGAACTCGTTCTGGAAAGGACCGAACAGGAGAACGGGTGGTTAATCTCCTACAGTAGTTCCCTGTATAAATCACCCCGTGCCCTCACTTGCAAAATCCTTCATACTGGATCGCTCCCAATATATCCAAACCATATCCCAGTTCTCAAATCAACCAAATACTCTACTCCCGTCCCACCTAGTTCACGAACAACGGTCGGCCATTTTAGTCAGCCTGCGAATAGTCTGCAATGATAAACTCCACAAGGTATGAAGAAACTGCCGAACATGTGTCACGATCCTATTACGAAACCCAGTCCGAAAAGAAGCAGGGAACAGAGTAAAAAGAAGACACAAGCTCCCACGGAAAGCGAGCCAACCCTACCTTTAAACACACGTTGACTTCAAAATTGCGA